AAATCAAGGAGAAAAATGGTCCAACGGTTTTCAACGGCAATTCCCTCACAATTCCTCTAACTTCGCAACCTTTCCCTCCTATTTTCTATCCTTGAGTTTCCTTTCCCCCCCCCCCCACTTTCTCGTCTTTTCCTTTCTTTCTCTTCGACGATTCGTTTTCTATCGTGAAAAGAGCAGATACGATGTTAGAAAAAGTCGTGCATTCAGAGCATAATGCTCGTTATCGAACGACAATGGTATTATATGAATCGTTTAGTAGCTCTTTTCCAAAGTTAATAACAAAATAATGTGGAAAATATTGATTTTCTTTATAGAGAAATTGTAAAGTAAAAATTTTGAAGATATAAAAGTAATAAAAGTATCGAGACATTCTGAATCATTCATTGGAAATCACACGAATGGATGAAGATGGAAATACGAAAATATATCCAATTTCATGTGATAATAGAATAAACGTTCGAAACGAATCGAAGAATATATGCACGAAGAAAACGATAATTATATCAGCTGAAAGAAATATACAGCTTCATTTCACGGTCTATCGTATATCTATTATATATCTACAATAAATGGATTAGAATCGCATCAATTTTTATTCACATCATAGATATATCACTCGTAAATAATTCTTATCCAAGATTGATGTCGTATTTGTTACGCTCACAACGTGTATAATTTTATGCGATAAATTATTATTCATTACAGTGAACGCGTGATATCTCTGAATACTCATTATGAATAAACTCATTATCTTTCGACATCAAAATCAAAATTAAAATTCACATATGCATAAGAATCACATTGTTCTGATTCTTTATTACCATTAGCATTATTAATTGAATTCAATAATTATGTACTTTTCAATCGTCTTTTCTCACTCAGAGTCTCTCTTATATAACTTATCTTGAATTTACAAATCTAACTCGTACATTAGTGTCAATTATTCGAGACTAATAAAGAGAACGAAAATTGTCGAAGTTCTTTTATTTTTTTTTTTTTTGTATATTTAATATTAAAAAATTTTTAAACAAGAGTAGAATAACGGTTACAGATGACCATTATAATACTCTAAAAAGTTAAACAGAATTGCTAAAAATAGAATATAATCGAAATATGATATAAATCGTGATATTGCGATTTGTTTGTGACTCACCGTATCTAGATTGAATAAGCTCGAGACCTTTTTCAGGAATCCGTCCTGCGACTTCTTCTTTCTTCTGGTGGTCATCCTCCTCGTGTCAAATCGATCTCCGTTCGATGTGAATTAATCCAATTAATCCGAACGCTTCAGATAACGCTGAGCCACATACTTTTCCCGTGGAATTCGCGGAAACCACACTTCACCGAAACAGGAAGCAAAGTTCGCGATAAAATTGATTTCCGTTATATATAAATTCGTTCGTACAGAAGGAATTGTGGCAAAATTTCGATCGATTCCTTTAATTAATATACTAGAAAATTTGTCATAAAAAATGCTCGATAAAAATTAAACGTGTTAATCACGTAATCATGTATTACCACGCTAATATAATCACATGACGAGCAATTATAATATTGTAATATCTTTTCCTTGTAATTTGCTCGAGAGTTTAACGTACTGGTGCAACGTGAAAGTGTCTCGACCGCTTGAAAACTTAATCTAATGAGGAAACACGAGAACCGTTGCATAGACCAGTAATTTTATATGCGTCAAATACATCATAGATTCGAAGTCGCGATTACGGTGACACGGAGTCGTATTATACTTCCCTGGCGGCCTATTTCTTGCGGGCCCGTGCCGCATTTATATCTCACGCAAGTGCAACCTAATTGATAAAAGCCAGGGACATCGGCCCGTCCTACTTAGGTCGGTTAACCCGAATCGCTTGGCAAATAACGCGGGAAATTATTTGATCGTCGTCACGTGCTGTTAGTGGATATTATGTAATGAATAATCAGTAGTGATGATGAATCGTTGCGTATATATGTACACACGTAAGGTGTGTAAACTCGTGTAACTTTTCATATGAAGTAGAAAAATATTCGAAAAGAAATTACAATTATAATTTTTATAATTCAATGAAAATTAATTTTTTGAAAAATTAATTCTTATTAAAAATATTTTAAAATTTCGATGAGAAAGCAATTTAATCATTTGAATCGCGCGCCATCTACTTCGAAATCGATTGCTATCGATCTTTCATATTCATGAGAGAAACGATAAAAAAAAAAATAAACGTCGCGATTATTTCCAAGGTAAAGTTTATAAAACGACATACAGTCACGCTATCACGTAGACCGAAAATTTAAATACGAATAAAGGTTAGTAGATGCTCCGTAAAGAGAATGCACTCTCTGATTCGACCGGTGAACCCTTGGGCGATCGATCAGTGAAAGTATGGAGTACAAAGTGGCACACGAACCTTGTTTGACTTGATATCTGTCGATATACGTGCACGTATTTTTCTGAACATAAGGTAAAAACCAATTCTATGCTCCCACGAAAACTATGTATAAGCTTCCCTCTTTACGTAGTCGTGTACACACTTGTGTAGTATGTATATGTACACACGAGTACGCTTATATCGTAAACAGGTTGTCCGTCCGTCTCACTCTAGTGCGCGCTAAGCGTACTCCTGTGCAACGTACCGTGACGAATGACGACGCGGATAAGGAAACCCACGATTGTGAACCTTTGATTTCCACGTGGACATACGTTTCACGCACACGTTATCAATCATTATGCGTTCATTATTTCGATAAAAAAGAAAATCTTAAATGATCTAACGTGAACGCTTCGTTCGTGAAAATAAAAGCAATAAAATGTCAAATATATTTCAAAGAAATGAAATACATAGTACTGTTATATCCCGCGTCCTTCGTACACGTATAACCTATTCATCACTTAATGGAGAAGAACCGTAATATAAACTTTTTAGTTCGTTTCCGAAAATATTGGAATTACGTTTATTTGTTATTATGCGAAGAGCAATGTGCATTAAAAATAAGAAAAATTCCGAATTCTCAATTGCCACGTATTCCTTCTGTATTGCCCGCCAAAAAAATAATGAAGACTTCCTATTTAGGTGCGCAAACGTCACTTTACCTCTGAAGGAAGATCACTGATTCACACGGAACATATTTAGATGATAACGAGCAGACGTATTTGTCTACACCAACACTACACTTTTATCCAATTCTAGTTGAAAATCACCATGTACTAGACGCCCCTGCACGCACGATTCTCGCATTCCATGAGAAACACGAACACGCTCACACAGATACGAAACAGGTTGCTTCTCGTTCATCCGTCTCACTCCAGAACGAATTTCTACCGCCAATCGGGCCACGATATTTTCTCAAGGCAACACGTAGAACGAAAGAAACAAAGGATGAGTTTGAACGCGAATGTCAATATGTACACGACAGTTTTTTAACCACACAAACAAATCGCATTCTTCGTACATATAGGTAACATGGTATCCACCTCTTTTCTTTATTTATCCGCACCATCGGCTTCGCTCCGTTTTCGTTCCGTGTTCTTTTCGTATACTAGAACCGGTGGCGCGTCAGAGGTTAGAAATTACATTCGAATATAGTCGGCTCATTGTCAAACGACGGGCACCAGATATCTTCGTGTTCTTTGTACGAATTAGTTCCCGCAATAGTTTATACAGCTTTGCGTGACACGATTATACGGCTGTGCTACAATGCCGATTAAAATCAGCGATGCACCGGTTGGGAGGTTAGGTTGCCACAGACGCCTCCTCCACCTCTCGGCCGCTTTCTCTCTCGCTCTTCGATTACAATTGCTCTCACAGAAGAAACGGCGTCGTAGCAAACAAATCTTTTTCCCGCCACGTGATATGCACTCAACACCCACAATATCTATCGAACACAACCGGATAAAGATGGAACGACCGACCGAAAATAATACGAGCGTGCACGCAAAGAAGTGAAACGTCAAGAGCTCTCGTACGCTTTACCGAGCTGGCCGTGGACGGGCCTCTTTGCCTGCTGACGTCATCGCTCGGCCGCCGGCATGAACTTCGCAGCACGCACGGAGAGTGCCGAGCCGAACATCACCGGATCTGCACGAACCTGCACGATCGTCCTCACGAGAATTGTGCTGGGCGTTATCCAAATAAACTTTTATTTCAATTATTGTTTAACTTACATAAAATAGTCTTCTTTCATAATCGGAATTTATTTTACTAACATATATTTTAAATTTATAAATATAATATAAAAACTCGTTAGGCGCAATAACAAAAATTTAATTATAAAATTCTGTTATCGTTGATTTTTAATTATCTTTAATGGAAATTTGAAGCAGGTATTTCATTTTAATAAAATAATATTTTTTTATATTATTTACATATTATTTAAATATTAATAATCTGATTTAATTAAATAAAGCAATAACTATTTTTCTAAACGATATATTATCAGGAACAAGATTTGGAATTAATAAATTTATATATTAACAATTTTTTTATTATAAATTTTTATTAACAATGTACAAGTTGTTATTTTTATATAAATTGATGTCTCGTAATTTTTTATTCACTATTTTGAACAAAAACTTTGGCCAATTGGTACACGAAAGTACTCGCATTCTCTACCGCGTGCCTCTCATTCTCCCTCTCATTTCCTCTTATATCTCGCTTCCTCTCGAACAGAACATACTAACCATATAAAAGACGTTCGTTTCTTCGTCGATGCCGCACTATGTCAGACCGAACGCGCGAGGTTGCGTAGCGTTTTTGAGGTTGGGGGAAGTTCAGGTAGATAATAAGAAGATACCGCTTTAGGTATGTCGTAATGATAGACAGTTTACATGAATTTCAAAAGCTATCTGTATATTATTATTATATTATTCTCTTTATATATGTTTTTCTACCAGAATAACAACAAAATATTTTCCAATTTATATAGTTATAATTTTATTAAATAATTTAATTGAATTATTATTAATTGTATTGTTATTATTATTAAATTATACTTATTAAAAAATATATATTTATAATAAATTGAATCTTTTGCAGAATTATATGGATTTGTAAAATCTAAAAATTTCAAACCGTCAACATATTGTAAAGTGACAGAGAAACTACTATCTCGTTTCGGAAACAAGAATGTAATTACATTTATGTTCGTGGAAATATTCCTTTCTCTTTTAACAAGGCTTGTAATTGGTGAAAATTCCTGTTATCGCTTCTATTGCGATAGATTCAGTGTAATTTAAATGCAATTTTTTGTTGTCAAGAATCAATGAATTATTCTTTAAGGTTATGTAACACTATTGATTACTAATCTTTTTAGTTCATTCTTAAAAAAAACTTAATTCTTTGTTTTAGTTTGCACACATATAGGAAAGAATTCCCTTCTAATAAAAATTATTGCACAGAATTGTTTTAAATCTTTTTAAGCAAGGAAAGCCAAATGCAGCAACTGAATTCTGACTATAGAAGAAACTAATTCTCTCTTTCTATAAATCATTATTTTCAAAATCAATGACCTAGTTATTCTTGTAGAAGGTATAAGTATTGCAATTTTAATTCATTCTTGTTTTCTATTTCAGAAAAGTGGTTGTAGAAAAGAAAAAAGCAGAAACCTTTTGATTTTTTAGCAGTCACTAAAACTCTTTCTAATTGTTCTGAAAAAATAAATAGCCTTAGAAACCGAAAGCGGTCAGGATATTCATATCTGACCGTGCTTTTCTCTTGAACGCTCCGAGCTATATGACCTGGAAACTTTAACGAAACCTTTAGAATTTCCGGGGAGGCAATTTCACCGATGGTATATCTCGCGTGCTACTGTATGCAACTGTGCCACCGACACGCGGAGTACGTCGCAGAACAATGGCAACGCTTAATGCCGTCTGACTGGTTGTAATTTGCATTTCTCTAGTTGGCATCTCTCTGCCTCTGCGAATAGGCCCTGCCGAAATCGCATCGATGCATCGAAGTCCGCTTAATGTTTCCGTAATGCTCCGCTGTGCATTCCTTTGAACCGATTTCCAACCAAATTTGCCTATATCCGAACTAGAAATTGCACGAATACTGAAACTTATGTTCTGAAAGCTGGCTAATCTGATATAAATTGGTTAAATATGGTAGATATATTCACTATTTTCTTTTTAAATAATTTAAAAATATTATAAATTATAATTAATAATATAAATTACAATATATAAATTAATATAAATTATATATAAATTATATATAATTATATATAATTATATATAAATTACATATAAATAATATAAATTACAATTACAAAAACATTATTACATATATATATATATATATATATAAAAATAGTATAGAAATTCTTTGTATGTTAACTCTTATATGTTTTGGTATTTTCAATTTAATACGAAGAAGAATTTTTATTCTATATTATATCATATAAAATGTTATATAAAATGTTTTAATAAAAGTTATAAATCAAAAATTAATATCATAAAATTATGAACTTTATTTTAGATAATATATTAATTATTATATATATTATCATAATAAATTGTTAAATTAACAATAAAAATCTTTTATTATGTTTTATTTTTTTTAATTTAATTAATTTTTATGTAAAATTAAAAATATGTATTGTAACAATAGTTTAATTTTCGCGCGTTAAAATAATTAAATAAGAAACTGTGTGTTCCAGCCAATTAGAAGCAGTCTAATTGAACCTGTGGCGCTTGGTGTCATTCTTCCGCCGAAAATCATTGTGAAAGGACGTGTTATCGTATCGGCTTGAGCAGCATCATTTCAACTACGCAGTAAGTAATTTTATTGCTATTCTATTATTCAATTTATAAATTATTACTTACTTCATTTATTTAATATTTTATTAAACGTTATGATAACAAAATTAATTAGTCCTTCAAATCCTTTTCTTGTGCTTTATTCTTTTGAGGTTATTGGTAGCGTCCATTGTTAAATCTTTCTATAAAGATTTCAATTATTGCTTTCTTTTAATACAATTTTAATTTTATACATTTGTTTTACGATTTTGATTTGTATTTGTGTAGTAAATCTAAAAAAATAATCGTTTAATAAGTCTTTTTATTCATATGGAAATAAATTATATCGTAATATTTAATTTTATACGTATTCTTATACATATGTTTTTCTCGAATGTATTTATCTCTATGTTCAACTTATATATTATTTCTTTATTTGTTTTGATTTTGGAGCTCAAGGCTTCGAGGGTAAAAACATTCCTTATAAAACTTTCCCAGAAAATTGATGATCGCGTTTGTGCTACGCTCGACACGTTCGATTTGTTATGATTGTCGAACTATCGACCTCCCCTCCCTACTTTATAATTCGATAATCGAAATTGCGGCGTGGAATGTCATTGTACTCTCGATACTCGTGGCGTTCAGACGTGTTATTTTTCTTTGAGGTATGTGATTTATCTTTGTAATATTTAATTTGTTTTATAATTATTTCATATTATTTTATTATTTTTATATTAATATTCTATTAATACTTCTTTTTTTATTTTTTTTATAATTGGAAATCCTTTGATAGTTATATTATTTTTTCTTTTCTTTATTGATATATTTGAAGGTTAGAGTTATAGATATATCGTATTTTAAGTTTTAAAAGTAGGATTTAAGTTTAACTATTATATAATAAAATTAATAACATATATATATATATAATTTTCTACATTTATTTGAAAATCTTGATTTTTTTTGTGATTTAATAGTCGATTACTAATATAATGAAATGGAATAGAAAAGCGGGAAAAATTTCAATATGGACGTCATAAAGATTAATGATTTACATAAAATTTTGAGGTTTTTTTTATATTTCAAATTTTTTCAATAATTATTATGTTTTTAACTAAAAATACTATTAATATTTATATATATATATACATATAATATTAATATTATTTTTTTTGTTAAAGGTATTGATGATATTTGAAGATTTCTTCTGAGTATTAGTTTAAAAAAATATTTGTGACCGCGCGCAATGCGGTTAATAGAGTCAGTGTTTACTTCGTAATAGTATTTTTAATTCTTTAGAATACAATTGTTAATTAATTTAATAAAATAGATATTCGCGAAATTAGAATCAGTGTTTGTTCACCGATAACTAAACGTTAATATTCTTTTATTTATTTTTTTATTTTTTAAATATTCGTTTCGCGTGCATTAGAATCAGTGTATTAAGAGAATAAAGTGATCATCATTATCAGCATTGTATCAAAAAGGTAATTATCTTAACATATTTTTCATTAATTTAAAATTTCATTTTTATTAATTTTTAAAATAATCATTATATATTCTGTGTTTTAAATTATAATGTTTGATTTTTTGTTACAGTTCTACTTTCTCTTATTTGATGACGACTCCAAGATAATTTCTTATATGTTATGACAACAATGATGGCAATGCAGATTTTTTGCATCTATTGGTGAGTCGCATGCATTTTATTTCCTCTGGTCACTCAATCATGTCGTAGGATGAAAGATCCGAATCGACACGAGTGATTGGTTGTATTATGTAGAATTTTATACGAGCATAGTGACCATGGGTATTTATTATACTCATGAATAATAACATTTCTTTTTCTTGTGTTTTATTTATTAATATAGGATAGGGTCTTCTTGTACATCGCGTTGTAACATAATTAAATGATTTTTATAATTAATTTATTATTAAAATCAATACAAATATTTATATATGGATGTATAAAAATAATAATATAATATAAAATATAAAATATAATATAGATCTTTCAATAAATAATAAAATAAAAATGATTTCATTACAACGGAAATTTAATTTATTTATAGTGTAATCCAATTTATATAATTTATTTCATATATTAAAATTTAATTTATTTCGTAAGATTTATTCAATTTCATGTGCAAGAAGACGCTTCGCGACAGGTAGATTTCGGAATTAAAGCAACAAATTTGAATAGTTTCATAACTTAGAAAATATGTTTTGATAAAGAAATCGCCTGAGGGTTTTTTTATTTATTTTATATTTAACTTAAAGTTAATTACTTTTATTACAATTTCTTCTTCTTTAATTTCTTAACATTAATATTTTAGTAATTCATTAAAGTAGAATCATTAAAATTTGAGATAAAATCATAATACAAAAAGTGGAAAAATATTAGTCCGTTAGACACAAAATAATAATATTTTTTTTAGCTCAGGATTTTCAGATTTAATCCTTTCCGTATCTATTGCCAGGATCTCATTCACGTGCCCAGGTGTTACTTGGGTGAGAGAAATGCAATGGATACGATGACAATACATTATAAGTTTATAACAATATTTCAGCGACTGACGATGCGTTAGTGTATCGTGCACGACGTATTTTCCACGTTGTGTATGTGTGCGATTAGGCCGTGGAATTGCGTCGTTCTCATTAATTCTCGCTTATAATTTCATCGTTATTAAGTAACGCGGATTAATTCTATGAATAAAATTATAAAACAAAAGTTTTATTCCAATAAAATTATTTCTTTAGAAAATATATATATTCTTTTGCAATTTAAATTAAGATGCATAGTTTTATCACATTTTACGCAATGGTCGCTAGCCATCGTCAGTCGATTTCAGGAAAATGGTACGTAAAGTTAGAGTGTGAATGTAGTGTGCCAAGCTCGGGTGTCGGAGGCGTCCCGGGACGTTTTCCCTAGTGTAGGCATTTTGCGCCCGAGTATTATGCGTGAGAATCGTGGAATGAATGTGTTGGTGTGCCTGTTTTGTCATATTTTTTAAATATAGAGGTTAGGTAGGATAGGTAGTATATTTCTGGTGCGTCTGTTAATTATAAGTAGGTAGGGCCGGGCAGGTTGTCACAGTCTCCGATCGGGTAGGCGCGTTCTCGCGTGGCAATCTGTTTCAGGAAATCAAATTTGAAAAATCGAGAGCAAAACTGAGACGAATGGAGAATATCATATCGTTTCTGGTTTTTCCCATCGATTGATCGAATTCCGTGGTCGCGATCGTGAATTAATTCGAAACGAACGTTGCGCTCGAGATTTTGCGCGTGTACGGACAATTATCGTTGCGATCGTTGGTCGTCCACGTGCGATTAGTTTTCGCGATTTGATCATTTTTCTTCCTTTTTTTTTTTCTGTTTCGATTAGTGAATCTCGAGCCTAGATTTAAGTTTCAGCGGGCATTGCGCCCGAAGGAGGAAGACCGAAGAGGCCCGACAAACTGTCACGAAGAGGGCTGCAGCGAATGGCTTCTCATCTTTTGGATTTTGTTTAAGTTCAAAGAATGGGAAGTCATTGTTATTATTTTGTCACTGTGCTCGTTTTAGTATCACGTAGTAAATGTTGTGTATTGTCCGGCCGATGCATGCGGGCCCATCATCCAGATCCAGTCCATCGTGGGCAAATCGCGGTTTTGTATTAGTGTTGCGATAAATTAATTAACGGGTTGAATTAGAGTTGCGAAAAATTACTTACGGATTAATCTTACATTGAAGCGATAATCGCGTTTGTATCGCGTAATCATAAAATATCGCAATTTTCTAAATATTTTGAATTAGATTTAATTTCTTATATAGTTTCTTTATATTTATGTTTAAATTGCAAAATCATCAGTTTTTAATTTATTTCCTAGTGTTTCGTTTCATAATATCGGGATATTTATTACTTTTCATTCGTAGAATAATAAAATTAAATTGTTATTAGATTCATTTTAAAATTAGTGTTGCGATATTATTTCTTCGCGATTGTTTTAATTAACGTTGCGTTTATAATAATGCCCAAAATTCTTCCACTGATATGGTGGAAATTGTTCCTGTTCCTGAATCATCTTGCAGCAAGAAAAGTTGCACAATGATGATTTGACGACGACAGCAGCCTTTGATATGGTTGCACCGACTACGGTTTTTCGCTATTAGTGTTGCGTATATTGAAATATGAGTGCATAAATTAGTATTTATTAGTGTTTCGTAAATTATTAAAACGCTTTACTGAGATACTCGGGAATCATTTATTTATTTTTGATTTTTTTTTTATTGAGAATTCCATTGCAAATAAAATAAAGCACTCTTCACGGTTTCTTTTGTAAACTTAGCATATTAGCGTTGCGAAAGAGAAAATATATTATTCCACTCACGGTTTGTTCGGTTTGTTCGAGTGGATAATTATTATAATATTTTGGTAGTCCTTCTGACTATCTTTTCTCTCTTTCTTTTTTTTTTTTTTTTTTTCTTAGCATCCAGAATCATCTCACAGAACATGGATCACTGAAGATAATGTTAAAAAATATAATTACTTATCACTAATTCGTTTGTTATTCAAAATTATTAGAATGAAATATCTTTGATAGATTTAGATTTTTATATAATGGGTAGGAAAATGTAAAAATAATGGGTAAAAATTTAGTTTCTTATGTAGATGGGATTTATAAACGATGTATTTATTTTTTACGTGGAAATCTTTAACTTTCTGATAGATAAGATTTATCCACGAATTATTTAATTCTCAGTGTATTAAACTGTTCGGCTCGATCATTCAATAATTTGTTTTATTCTGAAATTCTCTCGCGATTGTTTTTGCAATCTTATTAGATATTCTTCAATATTTTTTATAAAAATTTCGTTCGAAATCGATGTTTCACAGCATGTGATATAAAATTCCACAAGATATCACTATAGATATCTCCTCTGTTTCCCGCTTGTTTCTCGCACGATATAATTAATTTAATTCAATTAAGGAAGAAATTCAGACAATAAGTGACACCTATGTACTTATTGTCTGAATTATACTAACCATACTTAATAAACTCTGCCGATAAACTATTTAATGTAATCTGTCGCACAGTATTTTTTGCAAAGATACAAAATAGTAACTGTCGATAAATTAAATATAATATCCACGTAAAATACGTAAAATATCTACATAATTCTTCGACGAAATTCATCTTATATATTCGGCTTGCAAAGCTTTCTTAATTAACGATTTTAAAGAAGATATTAACGATCATCAAAAAATTATATTCGTGTGACGATGAGAGGGCGGAAAGATGAAGGGGATATGTGGGGAAAAAAAAAAAAACAATACCAATGAGAAACAATTGATCTCGTAGTTTATTGCATCGAACACAGGAAAATGCCGAAGAGGACGCTTAATTAAAAGTGCGTGTCGGGGTACCAAACCTCGTGAGCTCCATTTCTTTCTCGCATTTTTCAGAATTTGTTTGTCCGCGGTTGATTCTCAGCAGTCTCCGCCTCCCGTATGACCCTAATAATGAGAGAGAGAGAAAAAAACACAGAGAGAGAGAGAGAGAGAGAGAAGGATAGGAAGTTAGCTGCCGAACACCCTAGGCTAATCTCTCACAACTGAAGTGGCTCATTTGCGGCGAGACTCGCAATGCTCATCGAGGAATAAAAAAGAGACCGAAGAAAAAAGGATAAGTAGCGAGAGAGAAAGAGAAAGAGAGACAAAGCTGGGTAGGATTATAAGTTAGGATAATTGGCAGCAAGCCCTTTTTCCCCGTGTTAGTAGTCACCACGAGATGTATATACCATGAGAGAAGAGAAATTTTGAAGCCGTTTAATAGGAAGTCTTAAAGTCAGGAGCCTGATGTTCGAATAATAAACGGGATTTTATACATAAAAGATGGTGCGTGAAGCCATTCTAATTCCAAAAATCGATCCCAACGAAATCTCTTGGATTTATTTTATTTAAAAAGTGTGTACAATACATTGATTTGTTTAATATTCCCTCGTTAAACGAAGATCATTGTGGAATATAAAGTGAGTTTAAATATTGGAACAAAGTGAAATGAATTCTTTTCATGTCTGAATTTTAAATTTTTAACGCCGAAGAAAAAAGTTTCTAACGATTTCTAAACATATTTCATTATTCATTAGAAACGTTTAATTTCAGGGAATACATATTTATAACGTGTTATTAATCGAAATGGAATCAGTGATTTAATCGAAGAAGACAATATGAGTGAGTTTGTTACGGATATCTATGATCGATTAATATCTAAAATTAACGAGAGATTCAATACAATCGCAAAGAGAGAAAAAGATATAAAAATTGTTGAATACATCATTCAGTGCATTCCCTATGAAAGCGATTTCATCTGGATTCGACATAGCAATTTGGCCAACATCAGCACGCGAGAATTCCCATGGGAACTCACGTCCGCGGATCGTGATGGGATTTCGTTCGACGTGTACTTTAGCGGCGGGAAATCTTCGATCAATCCCCTTTTCCACGGGGAAAAAATTATCGGGGAAATTCACATAATGATGCTGCATATTTTGTTATTTAATAGATAAAAAGATTCGCGTAATTTACAAAAAAAAAAAAATAAGAGATATGAAATGAACGAATTGGTGATAGTCGATAATATTCGAAATTTTACGTTGAAAGAGAGTTAGAGAAGAGAAATCAAATCCGTCCGGAGGATTTAAGTTAAGAGAGTTTTCACGATGCAAAGAAGTATCTCGACACAAAATTGTGTGTCGTGAACAAGGGAAGATGGAGGAGTGATTTGCTTTGTATCGTTACAAAGAGAATAAAGCCGGAAGAGGGAGGGTGTATAGAGGAGGGTGACATATCGTAGATATTCGAAACAAGAAGATGAAACGGATCCCTCTCTTGGGAGGGGACACTATCGAAGAATATGGTACGGTATAGTTCGTTGTAGTGTCTGCGGCAAGAATCATTGACCAGAACTTGATTCTTCGAGATGCTCTTGAACGATATGAAGATGTCGAATATTGGAATCTGGAGGGCATCTCAGTGATACAATACAAATTTTTATTGGAAACTTCAAATCCTTTCATAAAGTTCAGGAAAATAATTCTTGTTTGCAAGAAATAAAAAAGATAGAAGTTCCATAAAGTCTTTGATAAAAGTGAATCACAATAATACTTTCATCCGAATAATGGAACAGAGACTTTTCTCTTATGGATGAATTATTTTCCTCTAGGATTTTGAGGAGAATATAATACTCTTATTTCCAACAAGATTACAAGAAAATTAGAAATTCTACATTTTCGTCAAATTTTTTTAATATACAAAGAAATATGAAATCTTGCGAATAAATTTTAAATTAAATTTTATTTCCACTTTTGTGATAAAAAATAACGATAAGAAGTAATAATTACACAATTCGAGCAATATAATTTTCAATCAATTGAACGGTCTGGCGTACAATGGAGTTTCCACTGTTATTTAAAACTCGAATAACTCGAATGAATAAGTTCGACAAATAGAAATGACGAAAATCGATTAAATCGATTACACTCGGATGTTGAAACACGATAGTTTAGCCCGATCTTCTTACCGAGATAAATCCCGGAGAGGAGAATTACGAAAATAGTCGAACTGCTTAACAAAGAGTTCCTCCTCCACAGAAGTCTGTATCAAGGTTTAACGAATCTTTTTAAATTCACGTCGCGCGTCCCCTCGGTTTCGCAGTTTTCCTCAGTTTCTTTCCACTCGCTACCTTCACCCACACCCATCATCGTTCCTCCGCTATGGTAGTCCAAGTTCGTATCACCGCATCAACGAGGGGCGTAGCCTTTAGGCGAGAGTAAACCCGATTAGACGGTACACTAAATCTCATTCAACCGGCCTTCATTGTTAAGTGCTTCTACCGTCTTTCGTCGTTCCTCGTAAAAAGCATAGCCAAGGGACGTCTCGCGGAGGAATTTTTTTATATCAATTTGATTGAATGTCAATTTAATTAATATTTATCATTAAGAATCGTTAACATGTTTGTTTACCTGATGCTTTAAATTCTTTGGAGAATCGAATAGCAAGATGATATCGGTTTTGAAGAATTATTATAACAATCGTCGAGCTGCGGTACGAGTACGTTTGAATTTCAGAAATTGTTACGCATGACTTTCCCGTCGGACAAATAAGAAATTTTATTCTAAATTTTTTTTATGATGCTTAGGAAGGTATTATTCGAGATTGGTAAATATTTTCACGGCGGCATTGACGAATCGCCAGTATTTAAAATTAAGAGGAACGTTGCACCTCTGATGCAACCGGTCGTTGCAACCGCTGCATCATTAAACCACAACGCTCTCAATAACGAAGAGATAAACTGCAGCTCGTAACCATGTAACCAGATGGTAAGAATTCGAGTCGTATGTATCACTGTCATGCAAATTGCTTTCTCCCCGCATATTCTCTATCATCACGTTCCTGCCGTTTCTATGCAACCCTTGCAAATACTATTGGAAACTGCACGTGATATATGCGCGACGAGATTTCCTCGATCGAAAAATGTATTCTTTAGAATCGTTTAGATTCATTTCTCGTGCATCAAAATATAAGAAACGATGTTTGGAGATAAATAATAAATTGTGTGCAATCTTCTTTGGTCGAATAATATTAGTCTCTAATTTTTGTCAAAGCATGCATGAAATATATACACTGCAAACCTCTCCAGTCATTTATTAACGATAAATCAAAGTTCGATAATACTTTTGGTTGAAAAAAAAAAAAAAATTGAGATGAATCAGAAAATCGGTGTTAAAAGATGTGTTGCTAATACAAACGTGTTTAATTAAGATGCACAGAAAAGAAGGAAGAGAGAGAGAAGAAAAAAAGAAAAAGGCAGCATGCTTAGAGCGAAAGCAAAGCAGTGTTGATTCTCGTGAGTTGTAATGGATGCTCACCTGGTCTCCGTCGTGTCCTTGCCAGCTGTCGTGACTCTGCAACAAAAGGAACGATATATGAATTGCAAATACACGAGAGGATATTATAAAAAGAAGTATATCGAAGAATTTCGTGCAACTCTTTATAATCTCGTTTGTATCTCTTTTTAGAGGGGAAAAAAAAAAGATGAAGGAAAAGAAACGAGTTCGAGAATTGCAATATCGGTTAATATTTCAGCGGGCAACATGCACGTATCTGCCAAATTTCGCAGTGTGTTCATGCCAAATGTTCTGAAACGTATTTTATTTGCGGTGGGACAAAGGGTTGGGGGGATAGAATTCACCTGTGAACCGACCACATCGTCATCCAATTTTCCACTCCACTATCTCGTCTCTACAGCGTAGAGATTTATACCCTGGAATTTGGTCTATGATCATTCCCGTGATTGCGTCTACGAAAATAAAATAAAATAAAATAAAAAAAAAAAAAATCTAGGGAAACGAGTCGATGAAACAAATGTTAGTAAATTTTAATAAAATCTTCGATACCTTATTAAAAAATATTTTTTTCAAGGGAAGAAATAAATTTGAATTGGGATACTTTTTATTTACGAACTCCATAAAACCATGATTTGGTTGGCCAGTTTATTAAATAAATTTCAATTATTACGAATAAGGAAAATGATAAGAGATAACGAGAGAATCAACGTGACGGTATCAATGTTTAGATCAAACAAGGGATATCGGTACACTCTTCACGAATTCGTAACGTCATAAATATTTTTCTGCGAATAAATCGGACGATAAATATTAGCACGTAAATGGGGCTACTAATTCGGGAAATTTAACGAGAGAAATTAATGTCAGGAAGATTCATTTCATCGTTAAAAATAAGCTTTATTACGTGTTATCCGAATTATCCGCGTCATACGTATAAATGGGCGAAATCCCTTTTTTCTCTCTCGGAATAAACGATGTAATTTTAACCGGAAACTCGTAATTCTGTTACAGTTCATTAAATCGTTGTAAATAATATCGCGGACTCTATGGGCAGCTATTTTATCGGACGTGGAGGTCAACCAATGCCGGAAGTATAGGCGGTGGTCGGCGGGTTAATGTTCAACCGCCTTGTTAAGATTTATGGTGGCAATATAGGCGTCATGGAACACGTTTCGCGCCCTCTGCTGGAAATTGATCCAAACGCACCGCCACTCGTTATGACACCGCTATTATTCGATATGCGTCGAGAATTCCAACGTTTTCACTCATATATATGTATATATATATATATATATATATATATATTGCCACCCTAACTTTTCGCGAGATTTAAAGTTATAGTCGGGTTATCAGGATGATAATTTACGGTGTCAGATGTAAGAAATATGGCGATAAATTAGATAAATTACGCGGAATAAGTGGCAAGAGGAATGGAGGGAATATGGGCTTACGTAGGAACTTCCAATATCCCGAGAAACTGAGAAGATGGTTAAAGGTTTGTGAGGGGTCTCCCACACCTCAAGGACAATCACGATCCTCAAAATTTGGAAACTTCTGAACACTTTGGAATCCAGAGTAGATAAAATATTCAACGGTTTCGAGATTCTCAAGAGAGAAGAGTTTCCATGAAATTTAGGATTGTAATCATGTATACGAACATATATAGTTGAATTACATGAATCAGGATGGATATCGAATTATGGTCGTGTCTCTAACGAATGAATATAAACTCATTTCCTATTGATTTTCATTGAATTCTTTATCAAACCACAGGAAAAATAAGAATTGTCTGATTTGACTTGTTATATTTTTATTTCGTATTTCGTATCAGACAAACAAGACTACTAAATTTTTCTCCTCTAGATTTGCATTAAGCAGATAAGAACAGAGAAGTTCGGCAAGGCGTGTATGCCTTCGATAACATATCAACGTTCTAACGTACAAGGCGATGTAATGAACGCGATACAGATACGACGAGGAAATTATTCCCACGATGAGGGTTGCTACCTCTCAACCAGTTAGTATCAAAATCCCATTACGAGACGGAAGCTATGCCTCGAGCAAATTCGATGGTTCAGTCGGATAATATCGATATCAATTTCACCGGTTGCCGAGGAAAAATAGAGTTGTACGTTATATAAACTTGTCCACGTCTTCTTAGAACGTGTTGGAAAATGTTCCATCCGATCGAAACATGTTGGATGGATAAAGATTCGCTGTGAACGTTGATAAAACTTGTTGTTGTTATTTTCTATCGAGATTTACATTTATTTTGATGCTCCTACTTTGATTTCTCCTTTGCAATAATATTTATCCTTCTCTTTTAACTATCAAGTACAATCGCAAAAGTGATGAAGACAGAGGGAGAAAAGAAGGAAATTATTACCGTTCTGGCGATCGTTGACAATAAAAAATTTAATCGTTTAATAAAACGGGGATAAATATTGCGTAAACTGGAATAAAAGGTTGGAATACTTGAGCCGTGGATGAAACGAAGGAGGATGATATTGTTGTTTGCAACAATCGCAGAAGTTGCGGGAAAGCGATGTTTAATGAAAAACATTGGTTTTTACATTTTATTACTTTTATCTTATTATCTTCTTATATCTTATACCGTTGTAAAATTGATATTTGCATTTCTCGTTCGTACCAGATTGAAATAATACAAATTATTCAACGATACGGAATATTTAATTAAAAAGATTAATTAAAATAATTAATCTAACGACTGATAACATTAATCAGCGACGAGAAGGTAAGTGGATATTAATTGGACCTCGGTGGGATACATTTTTAACCATTGTACTTTTTAGCAGATGGGTTTACAAAGGCAATCCTCTTCGCCGAGACTTAATTGCAAAGTTTCTAACTGAGAAAATTGGTACATTCGTAACTTTCGACAGCCATGGGGGGATGATACCTAAACTAACAACGCCCCCAACTTTTCTCGTTTGTGATCAACTTTATCCACCGAGTACCTTGGTTTAATTGCAAAGATCTTATTTACATTACGCTCCATCCTTGTCCTTGGCCACCGCCTAATTTCATCGACTTCCGGTGAATTTATTCCAATTAAATCTACTCGATTGTTTTCATTAATATCACGGATGATAAACTCTTCGATTTGATTGATGCGTAAAGTTATAAAAATTCTTCGATAATAGAAAGAAAAAAAAAAAGAAGATAAACGTGGATCCGTTTTTTCATCATCGAAAGAACGACTTCCTGCTCTCCTTTATGGAACGTATAAACGGTTTCGAGAGGAAGCAGTGTCTCATAGTTGGAAGATATAAAAAGGAAAAAAAAAAAAAAGCATTTATCTCGTAACGACTTCCCTTTCTGCATTTTATCGGCACTCTTCTACTTTTACGTCGTTCGATTTTTAAACTTGTGAACTTGCATATATGCTCCCTCGTCGATTTTTCGATATATTATTCTACGATACAAATTAAAGATCGAAGATCGTCAATAATTGTTCAATACGTCAAAAAAAGAAAAAAATAAAAAAGAACAGGATCTTCTCGCAAACAAGACGAAACCAAAAGGCGTATAAAAGATAATTTCTAATGGGAAAATTACATTACGCAGAGAGTCGTTTTCCCTTGGCGAAAAAACGGTCGAGATTTATTGGTAATAAAAGGAGCGATGACTATGCTCGGAGGACACGATACGGATCGCCGGGGAAAGAGAAATTCACTAAGGGTTGAGAGAGGATACGCGTCTCTCCCTAAAATAGCTAAAACTTACGACGTACAACGTCCGCTAACTTCTCTTAAGATCGCAATTTAACGGGTAAGGGAATTAGACGAAGTACTAGAAGTCACTGGAAAAATGGAGCGTTAGAACAAGTCAATGGATTCTTCGATAATGTTTCTAATCATTATTCATATCACCGTTCATCTGAAAAAAAAAAAACAACTATCGAACCATTATCTTGAAATATGTGAAAACATTGTGTAGATAACAATGAGTTTCATCTTGAATTATACATAGTAAAAAAAAATCAAGAAACGATATTACGAGGAATATTAACCAATCCAACCAATTGTACCCAATTCTTATATTCACCGAATGGCTACAAAATTTCTGGAGAAAAATTCACCTCGTAAAAAAATGAATTTCTGCTTGCGTGAGTTGGGTAACTGCTTCTCTTTCTTGTTACGATGATGGTATTACAGACGTAACGAGAACCTGGCAAGAAAAGCATTGCAAGGGGGAAACGAGAGATTCGCAAGGCCTCGTAAATTCAGTTTTACAAGGATCTTAAGAAAGGGTTTCTTGCGTGATCCAAAATGGCTGACCCACGGCATGACGGCCGCTTAATTATGAAACACGCGGTATAATAATTAATCGAAGTGGGAACCGAAGTAGCTCGCGGCAAACATGAAATTATTGGCGGGACCGATACTCTCTCCCCTTCCCCTGGAAAATTATTAACGACCCCTATCTCGTTTCGACCACCCCTCCCCTCTTGTCATTCCACGTCTTAATTATATAAGTCGTCTCTGCGGAAGTTCCGCCGTTGAACAACTTGGTTTGAAACGCTTATAGACGCTTATAATTGGAACGCGTGAGAGTGATCGACTTTATCGATCTATTATGCAACGAACTTCGGCTCGAGTTTGCCTGATAATTATGTGGGACGCTTTTATCAAAGGTACCGCTTTGTAAAATTATTACTTGGTCGGACGAGAGAGAGCCCAAAGAAACGCGTTTCGCTTTTCAACATCGGTTCACTGGAACAGAAGAATGTACGAAGAGCGTATAACGAAGAATGATCCAATTTTTTCTTTTTCTTTCTTTTTATTCGTCTTTTTTTTTTTAAGGAAGGAAAGAGACAGTCGCGAAAATGTTGATTGATCATTTTAGTAGACTATTTTTTTTCCCTTTTGAATTTTAAAGATTTAAAAATAGGGAATGAAGATCTTTTTTATTTTAATTTTTTAAAATCGAAGAATATCTATTCGTAGAAAGCACTCTATTTCGTTCAAAGAAAAAAATTTCGAAGGATGATTTTGAATATTTATCTTGAACGTAAGAAAATAGCGATCGTAAAG